ATCACTTAACGTACTTCCTGTTGTATCTTGATAATAGTTTCCTTCACTGCAGCTCAGATTTTCTCTGTAAGCCATCAGCTTTTCACTCACCCAAGGGAAACCACCTCCAGCTACCGCTTGGTCAAACCTCCGAGATATACCCGCCTGCCAGTTAATGAGCCTGTTTAGAAAGACAGCACCTCCAATAAACATTGATCACGAAGCCTAAATTCCAAGCACTCCGGGGGAAGCCATTTGTCAAGGTGATAATTTATTTTCCAGCACCAGATATGGGGTGTTGGGGCTTGGGTTGTTTTCATCAGGCGAGCTGGAGCTCTGACAGACACCATTTCAGGTCCAAATCAGGGTTATAATGTGCAGAATGAAACACACAGAGCTGTAAATCACTCAGGACCAGCCGCAAATAGCTGAAAAGATCGCCTTCCAGTTGCTGAGTGGGCAAGGGAATAGTAATTTAGCAAGGAGATGTGTGGCACATTTCCTTTGTGCTTCGGTGTTTGGCTGAACATTAGTAGGCACACTGCGTGACTTATGGAAGGAGTAGTAGATTAAATGAAGGCCGGTCTCCTGTTTCCATCACGCTGACACGGGGTGCCCAATTACAGAGACGTGCCCCCGTGTATCCAGAGAGGCCAAGCACCTGATGGGAGGAAGTGGAAGGAGCAGGGGACACTGCGAGCGAGTAGGCGAGGCTACCGCAGTGCACCGCTGCTCCCGCGCTCTCTCAAGATGTTCCGCATCTCCCCCTCTAATTGGCAGATTGCCTCAGAAGCGAGATGATTTAATGGCCCTGTGTGTGTGTTTTTTCCTGCCTTAGTCAGCCATTAGCAGGGACATCTGTAACGAGTTGGCCAGGCGCACTGCTGAGAGCAGAAGCTGAGACCAACACTTTCTAGTCAGAGGGGGTGGTAGGGGGGGGGGAGGAGGCAGCGTGGTAGTGACAGACTTGGGCGATGATCAAAGAGCTCCGAGGCATTTCTCTGGGTTACAATAATCGAGATGTCTTGTTTGGAAATGTCCAAGGCAGCAGAAAAACCTGTAATCAGTTGTTTGATGTTGTTTACTTCCTAAAAGTGGTGTAAATTCAAACAGCGTGCTGGTTATCAATGGCGAAAGGGAAGGTTTTTATTTTTTATTTTTTTCAAAGAAGGCTAGCAAGATATTTGCTCAAATTTGGCACTAGCAGAACATATTAGGCGTGTGTGTGTAGTGTGCATTTGAAAAACATTTGTATTCTTTGAACCTTTTGCACATTTTGTCACAATATAACCAGAAAACATTGTATTATGTTTTTTATTTGTTTGTTGTTTTTTAAGATAATAGTGCATCATATTTTGTGTGTGGTGGGCATTTAGATTCAGTTCCTACATGTCAATGCTTGGTAGAACCACATTATGTTCCAGTTATCTCCGTACAAACTTTTCACACCTAGAGTCTGACATTTTAATTATTACAAACTTCTATTTCATGTCTTGCCAAAGATTCTGGAAGGAAATATCTGCTGGAAGATTAACTTTAACCCCAATCTCAAATTGTCTACACCCTCGAGTTTCCTTCCAGGTTTGTTCTGGATTTAGTGCCATTCATTGTCCCACCAAATCTGAGCTGCTCCCATATGACTTGTTGGAGAAAAGCGTCCCCACAGCATGATGCTGCCAACACAATGCTATGTGACTGGAAACTTTTCTGTCCTTTTTAAAAACCTTTCAGTGTCTCAATGTTAGCAGAAACACAAAATCTTACTAATTATTTTGACCCAGTTTCTAGTCCAAATATCTTGGTATATTTGAAATAAGTCAAAGCTAACTTACAAATAACTTTTTAAGTTGATATTTCTCAAATATTAAAAATAAGTACTAGTTCATTGGCAGATTTTTAAGTGAAATAATCTACCGGTGGGACGAGTACGTTTTATTTATCAGAACTATTTACCTAAACCAAGCTCGCATTTGTTACTGGCAAGTAAGTTTTGTCTTGTTTCAGGAGTTTGAAGATAGAAACTAGACAAAAGTTATTGGTAATATTTTGTGTTTTTGCAGAATGACAGGACCCATGGTCAATGATTAGAATTAAAAATGGTGGAAACTCAAAATTCCAGACGAATGGTGACAGAAATGGCTATAAAGCTTAATTGAAACAGACAACAGTGGATGCTGCAGGACTTCCATGAGCTAATTTATGCTAAAATATGTATTTAAAATGTATGACTGCAGCAAATCCCATCTGTCTGACAGGAATGGTAATAAACCTCAACAAAGTTGCATGTAAAAGTGTAATTTTTGATTGCTGTAATCAGTATCAGTGCTTCTTATCAAAGTGAAGGCTATCACAAGGTTGACAGCAAATGTTTACCTGCAAAAGCCACACAAAAAAGTCATCCTATAACTAAAATATCAGAAAATGAAATTTTCACGGCTTATGAGCAAACAGCTTGCCGTTACAGCGATCCCATTTCTCGCAGTTGTGCTGTAACCGTCTGCACCGAACGATGCGCTCAAGGGTAAAACATTATAGCTTCAACCAAAGTTTGGCCCTAAAGGCTTCTGCTTCCTGGCTGTATATCACCACTTTCATTTCTTGCTTTCCCTCTCCTGGGCTTGTCTAAGTAACGAGGTCTGGATGACAAAGGGAGCCCCCTTTCCTGAGCGAGTGAGGCCTCAGATGGAGCTGTGGAGAAAGCTTTAAGGCCTTTTTGAAGCCTGACGGCCATCGGTATTCTTACCATAGCCTCGGCGGATTTCTTCGCTACCTGCAAACTGGGTCAGGTTTTGCATTATTTTAGAGATTTGTATCTCAGTGGGAGGAAAGGAGGAGCTTGTGCACATGCAGGCGTGCAGACGAACACCTGCATTTTGTCTCCCTCCGTTTTCCTTCCACTCCCTTCCACTCTTCCCTTCCACTCTTCCTGTCTCTCTCTCACACACATGCAATATTGAGTATAGTAATATACGCGCATATTTGTCACCCCAACACATAGATGTCAACTGAAAGCTGAAAAATGAGCAAGCTTCATGTTGAGAAAATCATTTCAGACAGAGCATTTGCCAAAAGCCTTCGCTGAGGTTTATAAGGAGTACTGATATTGATTACAGCGCTCAAAAACTATGCGCTTTTACAGCATTTACATGCAACTTTGTCAGGGTTTATTACCATTCCTGTCATACAGATGGGATTTACTGCACTCATAAATCTTAAATTCATATTTTAGCATAAATTAGCTCATGAAAGTCCTGCAGCATCCGCCGTTGACTGTTTCGATTAAGTTTTATAGCCATTTCTGTCTCTACTCGTCTCGAATTTTGAGTCACCGTCTCAAGTTTTCCACCGTTTCCAATTCCAATCATTGACCGTGCGTCCTGTCAGGAGATGAACGAGGGACCAGGAGCAGATGCTGAGGGGCGACAATAATGAGACACTGAAGAAAGGTAATTGAAGAGGACAGAAAAGCTGGTGAGACACCTCAGAAAAATAAGTGAGGGAAGAAAATAACCAAGTAGGAGACAGAGAGAGGAGATGTAGGAGAGGCCAGCATCTGAGGGGAATACAAATGGACAGACGTGGAGCATGGATGGAGGAGCGTGTGTGTGTGTGTGTTGGGGGGGTAAAAAAAGATGGATTCACAGTTGGCTAATGAGAAGACAAAGAAACAGAAATACACATCGATCCCTGACCCAGAGGAAGACGGCTTTCATCCTGGTGTAAGCAGCCCAGACCGTCTGCAGGGGCTTACCTGAGGAAAGCAACCAGACTTCTGCTGGAGTCCAACAATGGGCAGGAATTATGTCTGCATGCTGAAAGCGTGGCAGGGATTAGTTCCTGGAAGTTTGAGCAGCCTTCAGTAGTTAACAATAAGTCCAACTAAAGGAACATGCATGTCATGCTGAATGAGTCAACGCTGCAGACAGAAAGCTTTTGAAGGGACGGCCACTCCAACAATGAAAAGTCTGGATACCTCATCAGACTTCCTCAATAGTGTCACTGTGTGTACATGTCAGGCATTACATTATGACCTAATAGAACATCAAAGCATGGTTTGATTGGAGCAAGATGTGGAGCTAACTCAAGTTTGTAATTTTCCTTCTCAAATCCATTCCCAAACCTTGATGACATTGGTTCATTTGTAACCCACAAGTAACCCCTGAAGGAACCATTTCAGTTTTTAGTAAAGCTCTTAATGATGTTCCAGAAGTGTGTCCTGATATTTGTCTGCTTTGTCTGTCAAAGATGAAATATTAGCAAATGTATCACCTACTGTTGTTTGCAGATCTATTCGGACTTGGTTTGTTCTGCAACATGTGGCCTCATGTCTAGTTTTAAGTCCAACTCAATGATGTTCCTGTTGAAGGTGTCAATCAAATCAATAGTATCATTGTATAAGCAGCTATAAATATTACTGTTATTAATTTTCTACTTTGTGTTTCCCAGAGAAATGTACAGAAATAACCAGAAATAAAGACTTTGACTAGATCGCTCTGTATGATAAATCTATTTATTTCCTATTTAGAACTGTATGAAGTGAGGTGAATCTGTGTGTTTGGAAACTACATGTCTACCACAGCTCAAATGTGTTAGTGATAACAGTAAAACTTTTCATTGGAAGATTAAAACAGAGAAGAGCAACTATTAGTTTTCAGATGTGTCCTGATTCAAGCCTTCAGACACCCAAGAAGGAACTACGTGTAACATCACCATGCCCATTAATATTGATTTATACATTGTTATGAAATCTATTAAGACTTGGCAACAATTGTGCATCCATGTCAAGAGCTTTTCTTTTGTTTGTTTTTTTGTCAGAGAAGTAGAATTAAAATTATTTTCCATGTTTTGTTTTTTTCATCTCGTCACTAACAGATTTTGTGTGTTTTTTTTTTTCTCTTTTGCTTAGCTTTATTTTATTGCCATAAAGCGCATCAACCACAACCTTGCACGCAGTTCGCAGCACAGGTGCGCACCAGCAAACAAAGCCGCGTTCAGAGCCGCATAGAGAGAGAGCCACTTACTGCAGGTTCGAGCTGTTCCAATACACCGCATGACGGCTGCTGGCTCTCGAAAGGTGCAAGTTTGTAAGCACCAGGGTGACGAGGCTGAGAGAAAACGTTACGAGAGCCATAATCCCTCCTGGTGCTGGTCCAACCCTGAATGCTTCCCCCTTTTGCCTTGTTTTTTTCTTTTCTTTTCCTTTTTTTTTTTTTTTTTTTTTTGGCTCCTTCTGTCCCAAACGACGCGTCGTTCACAACATCCCAGCGGTCATCCGGAGCGGAGGAGCGCGTCTTCAACTTCAGCGACTTCTTTCGGGATACGCGTTCCTCAATTCAAGCCCCATCGCGACGAGAGAACCCGCTCAGGCGTCTTTAATTGAGCCAATTCTGCGCACTTTTAAGTCCGTCCTATTGTTTCCAAGCTCAGCTTTCATTTGAAACAGCTTGGCGAAACAAGCCGCCAAACTCACGTATATCGCAGTTTGCTGCAGGTTAGTCAGTTGTTAAAGTCACATCCGAGCCACTTGGAGGTATTTTGGGGTACCTGCCACTTCTCTCGCCAGAAGCCGCAGCAGCAGCGGCACGCTGCGCACACAACGACACAAACCCGCCCTCTGATGGCAGAGAGGCGCGCACATGTCAGTCCACTCATCCGCCACGCCCCCTCATCTCATGCACGGTCTGTAAAAATAATAATGGTAATTTCTCTACAGGGAAAAGCATATGTTTTTGCACAAATTCAGTTTCTCCACCTAAATGATTTACAGCACTCTCTGTAAAGTCTTTCCAGTCTGAACAGAGGTAATAATTACAGCCAGTGCTTAAATTAAAAATGAAAAGGAGATTTTATTTTATTATTATTTTATTTTATTTATTTGTTTCTTTGCTGATTCGTTTCGCAAACAAGAGTGATAAACTGCATCGCTAATCAATTAGTATTGAGGTTTGAGCCGTTCTGTCTTTGCTGTACCCAGTGGCCATGTTCAGGAATTGTCACACTCAGGATTTTCACATTTAAATATATATTAACAATATGGTAATCATTAACATAATTTGATAGAAATACAATACAATGAAATTTGTATTTATTGAAGCATTTATTTATGAGGGGCAGTGAGGTTTTTCTCTAGTTTGTGGCACCTTAAGTTTATATTTTGTTTTTATTGTCTGTCTGTTTTTGTTTATTATAGACCAGATTTGTATCTGAATAAAAAGGATTGATTGATTTATTGACTGATTGATATGGAACAACACTGCTGGCCAGAATGCAGTACACCAAACTAAATAAAACAGACATAAAAACAAAACAACAATTGAAACACCTGAAGCTTTCTTCTTATTTCCCATTGAAAGTACTCCTGTCACTTTCTCAGACAAAGACATTTAGCTTCTGCTAACTTCCTCTACTCTGCTTTATTTTACTTTCTCACTCCAGATGCAGTGCTTCTCTGTTTGGACAAAGCCAATAGTTGAGCTATCAGTGTCATAAACTCTCCATATTGTTGATGTTTTACTGTGTTTTTTTTAAAGAAGCCATTGCTGCCAATTGCTCTGATTACTCTTTAGCATAGAAAGTACCCCAGGCTTGATGCTTCCCTTCTGTTTCTCTGGTTTTTCACAGATGAATTTGATCACGTTATTATTAACGAGACATTTGCTCTTTTAAATCCAACCATTTTTAGTCTTCACTCAGGACTGCAACACTTTTACAGGAGACTTTTGCTTCGTAACAGAAAAACTAAAAAAGGTAGATTAGGTTTAACAGAGGAGAGATTTATGTTAAGGGAAAGTTATTTTGTCAAAGTATTTTTGAGAAAGTTCTGCCTTTCTGAATGTCAAGCCCGAACTGTACGGACTCTCTTTGCCAGAATTTCACACTTACTGGGTACAGATCAGCTGCAATATCTATGTTTATGTGTAAGTCTTGGCTGAATGTGCACACAACACATACCTCACATAAATCTGATGCACATAACGGAACCGAGTCCAACTATAGAAGCAAACACAAATTAAGCAATTAATTCAGGTAAAATGAAGCAAACATCATTTGACTTGCATCAAATTGAAGAATGTGCAGGAAAAACAGGCCATGCTGAATATTTCACATTTGAAAATACGCCAGCAGGGAGTTCAGTAACATTTTAATAAACTCGTTATTTTATTGATTACAATCCATTTGTTGAAAATACACCCAGTAAGAATGTGACCTGCAACCAGAACAGGATTAACTCCAAATTACTCAAATGTGAACAACGTGGTTTTAAGACTTTTAGAACAGTGCACATTTTGTGCCTGTGTTGCTGTAACTTTTTTACATTCTGTGAATGTATGCACTTCTCTTCTCTTATTATCACTTCAGTGCAGCCATACACAAAAATACAAAGCAAAATACGCTTCCCTAATAACTTCTGGTAATTTTGAGGCTCGACCAGATTCAGCACATGTAGACAAACATGCTAATTACAGCCTCTCTCCTTTTGATACATCAGCAGGGGGAAATCCTTTTATGGCAACAAGAAAATATCTTTAAAGTGCAGAACAGGCCTCATCCGCTGCTGTTTACTTTGGGATTAAACTGAAAGAAGAGAATTTAAGACTAAAATCCTCTCTGGCTCATTATCCAAGGTTTAATCATTACGCTGTATTTACATGTTGGCATGCTGTTCAAATGCTTGTCAACTGTCAAAAGAAAAAAGAACATAATTGATACAGAAGCTGGTGGCAAATTAAGTGGATAAAAAGCAACATGATGCTGGTTAAAAGTGAAGCTTTTTAGTGGATTCAAATGGAAACCAAAGAATGCCGCGATGCTTATCGTATTCACGTTGCTTCCAAAGAAGTGTTTTCGTGCTGAAGTCAGTCAGCGCACTCAGAAAGTCTTTTTCAAAGATATTGTTTGTCACATCAATCGTCCCCATGCTGCTAAAACGGTGGCTTTAGGACGCCGCTTTAAAGAGCAAATATCACATTTTAGAGGGAGAAAAAAGATTTCTTGATATTTTTCATGCAGCTCTTTGCTTCACCCCTCCTGCCTGTTGATACTGGTCACCTTCCTCTGTAAAATTATAACTTTTTGTTGTTTTGCATCAAACAATACACGTAGGAATGAGTTCTGCGTTGCACTTCCAATCATCAGATTTCATTTGTTGTGCTGTATTTGTTTCCTCGTTGTGATCCAACTGAACATTTTCTCCATTAACACAATTGAAGGTTTGTGCATAACAGTGCTTTTGGCAATAGTGGTCGCTTTATAAGAGTTTTCTGTTCTTGCTAATATTCGTCATGTTTGGGGTGGATAATAACTTGTCCTCCCCAATTCAGTTGAGGTGCATCAAGTACGTTTTAAAAAAAAATCTGCAATTAATTGTGATTCACTCGGGGCAATTGTGCAATTAATTGGGATTGTTATTAGTTCAGAAGTAGAGCAGATCTGTTTGAATGTGCAGAAACATAAACATACATTTGCTTTTAAGATTTTGAGGTAGAGAAGACCCATTTGTTTGGGTAAATGCAAATAAATAAATATATAGGTGTATATATATCTATTTAAAGGTTTGCAGTTGCGATGAAACTCTCCGGATGTCCTCAGTGATTCCCCAAACCTGTTGGGTTTGAATCCGCCTGTAGATTCTTCCTGTCACTGCAGAAAACACTATTGGACGCACCTGAAAGGATTTGCTGAAAACATTTGGAGCTTCAGCATAAATTTCTTCTCTTTAATGACTTTCATAATGTGTTGAGAAATATAAACAACCAAATTAGAAGGAAATAAAATCAAAATTGATGTTTGAGATTAGTTGGGATGAACTTCAGATTAGTATTTGGGGAAATTAATGCTGTTTGCAGGAAGCCATTGGACATGTAGTGATACCAAATGTGTTGGCATGATTACATGTGTGTACCGGCGTATCTGTGTGCGTTTAATAGCAGAATTTGCACTGGGAGAAGGGTTTGAACATTTGGAGCCTTTAATTAACCTGCTTCATTTTGCCGCTCGTAGTTTAACCACTATCGATCCTAATGGCGACCCGCCATATTAACAGCTCTGCTAATTTCAAATGTGAAACATTAGTCTTGGTTTGATTAACTCTGCTAATTCTGTATCTTGTACCATTTTTCAAGGGCATGCGAGCGACATTCACACCCATAAATCTGGTTAAACTGTAGAGGACTGAGTCAGAACAATATTCTTTATTAGGCACGATTTGTCTTGAAAACATACTTTTTATATTTATGTTGCCAGAAAACTTATTTTAACTGATAGTGACAGTAATACGAAAATATTTAGATTACTTTAGACGTCACCTAATTACAGAGAAGTTGGAAAAAGAGGCTCTGGACAAAGGAGAACATAGGTAAATATTTTTGAGCCATCAAAAAAACAGATTGTGTGCCTGAAAAATTACCACGAATACACTATTTACACTGTGAAGCACGGTGGTGGTAGCATCATGCCGTGGGTGTCTTCGGGAGGAAAGCTGATCAGAGTTCATGGAAGACCTGTTAGAGGCTGAAAAACAACGGGGAGTTCCAGATATTGTTACAATGGAAATGTTTTGCACAAACCATTTATGTGTTAGACTGGCCAAGTCAAAGTACAGACCTAAAACCAGACGAGAATCTGAAGAAAGAACTCAAATGGCCTCCGTTGCTTTGTAAAGAATCAGCAACATTATCATTCACAAAAGCTGTTAGACATAAATGTAAAACTCACAGCTGTAAGTTTTACATCTGTTCTACAAAATTTGATCAAGAGGAACTCAATATAAAACGTACGCCTCACTTTCACATTGCAGTTGGTAAAATATTGTGAAATCGTCCCGTCCTTCCCTTCTTGTTCGTCTCTCACATAAAAGCCAGACAAAGTTCTTTGATTGTGGTGGTCGTGTCAGGATTACATGGCTCCCACTTTTTGCAGCTCCCGTTTATTTTAGTGTGACTACTTTGCCTCCCGTTTGCTCGCGCTCAGTCTGCGCCTCTGTTGTTTTTGTCGGCGAAGATGCCTCTCTCGAGTGCCCTTAAGGCATGTTGCTGTGGCGACTGGAGTTAAAGCAGCGGATGAAATAAGAAAGTGCCACCGCTTCCCCCCCCGCCCGCCATCTCTCACTGTCCCAACACCTATCTGTGCAGCTCCACTGCATCACTTCCCTCCATCTTCGCCACTATTTGTCATCCTTTTGTCGCCTCTCGCTCAGGAGGAAAGCATTGCATATATGGAGCATCAATCCCACACTCCTTCATAAACCGATTATCGCGGTCTTCCTGTTGCGTATGCCGACCACACAGTTGCCAATAAAAGTGAGATGAAAATATAGGAAATGACATTTAATATGTTTCCTGAACTCGTCGCAAGCAGCAGAGGTCCAAATGCATATTTATGATGTGCTTTCTCAGTGTCATAAGTTATTGAGCACATTTGTTCTTAGGGGTTTGCACCACGTGATGCAATGCCTGCACATGCTTATTGCCTCTGCAGAGCCGCGCTTTGTATTTTGCTACAGGCGTTGGTTAGAGCTGTTCCAACCTCTCGTTACCTTGACCATGGATCTGTTTGTGATTAATTCATGAACACCAGCTATGGGCATATTGATTATTCAGATAATTTG